CTTTTTCGGGGTAGTTCTTTTCTTTTCTCATGAAGTGGTAAGGCAAAAACGACAGCGTATGCTCTAATAAATTTGTTAGTCTCTAAGGTGCCACAAGTCCTCCTGTTCTTCTTTTTACAATGTATATACTTCATTCTGAATTTCTATTTGGAAGGGATCCATTTTACTCAGGAGTTTGGAAGCTGAGGAGGCCTTATAGGAAGAAATAATTCTGTCCATATATAAATTAAAAGTAGGTGTTGACCTCCTTTGACACTATATTATAGAAAACCTATGTCTGATTGTAAACCAATTTCCAGGCTGTTTTAATACCAGATGGCCATGGTCAAGTGGTCTGAAAGCCAAGCACACACTAGCCATACTTTCAAGTTCTAGTCACAAGAATGAAAGTAATGGCACTCTGAATTAAAGTAATTCTGGAAGGTCTGTATTTTTATTTTCTTCAAACCATAGCACTAACTCAATGTAAGGCTAGTGCTACTGTTCAAATTAAAAACAGACTAGTACAGATGGGTCAATGGAGATACGTGCTGGCATAGATGTCAGCCTGGTATTACAGAAAGAGGTGCATTCTGCTGGTGGCTGTAGTTAGGGTTTTTATATGGGCTTGCTTGACCTTGCCTTCTATACATCCCAAGAGTATTAATTTAGTTTACAAATTTCTGTACATAGGGGTAGCTTTATTGGAACTAAGAATCATTTTCATGCTGCACTGAACACCATTTAAAAAAATTAAATGAAAATGTGAGATGGAAGCTAGTTTGCAGCCAGACACAGGACTGCCATACTGTAGTGTGTTACAAAGAGGTCATTTTTCAGCAAAACAGCCATTCCCAAAACACTACCCATAAGTGCCAGGTTTACAGTAATGCCCATTAAGTTATGGGGAGATGATTTATTCCCAAAGTGACTTCTAGTCTTGATCCAAAAGGCTGCAGGTTTCATACAAGAAATTCCTTATAATCCTACAGAAGTATTTTCTAGCTCAGCTTGAAAGGGAGGTAATAGCTGTGATGTTGCACTTTATATGATTTTATGAAAATATGCTAATGAGAGTGAATATAATGTAACTGGAATATGCTTCATGCAAAAGGTCTCTTGTAAGGTATCATTACAAAGCTTATAATCTACTGAGTGTGTTCATCCTATTTGTATGAATGTATCATTCTTGTATCTGAAACTAGAAATATGAAATATAACTCTGAGGGCCTATTGTAGTTATACAAAGTGCGGGCCATTAATGGTGGTTTGGAATCTTGATGGCTCCCATCAACCAGGACAATTGACTGTGGATTGCTGTTTGCAGGCAGGCCTTCCTAAGAGTCAAGCTAGGAGGAATGAAGGCTTGAGGTCTTACAGTGCCATGTGATCATGTCACCTGAACTGGAATCCATCTTTAACCTGGTGTTTTTCCATTGAGAAGGAGGGGTGGAAACCCAGAGGAACAAAGGATTCCCGCCTTATGTAAAAAATATATAAGTGGGTGGAACAGAATAAGGGGGGTGGCCATCATGAGAAATCCCCTAGCTACCACCTGAGCTGGAACAAGGGCTGTACCAGGGGGACAGGATTGTGCCCAGACTAGGAAGGCGTCCAGTCTGTGAAAGAAACTTATTGAAACATCTCTGAGGGTAAGATTTTAGCTGTATTCAGTTTTCTTACTGTATTAGGCATAGACTTGCGGGTTTTATTTTATTTTGCTTGGTAATTCACTTTGTTCTGTCTGTTACTACTTGGAACCACTTAAATCCTACTTTCTGTATTTAATAAAATAACTGTTTACTCATTTAACCCAGAGTATGTATTAATATCAGGGGGGGGGAGCAAACAGCTGTGCATGTATCTCTATCAGCGTTATAGAGTGCGAACAATTTATGAGTTTACCCTGTATAAGCTTTATACAGGTGAAACAGATTTATTTGGGGTTTGGACCCCATTGGGAGTTGGGCATCTGAGCATTAAAGACAGGAAAACTGAAAGCAGCTTAAGAAGTGAAGTCTGCAGCTTTGGGGCACGTGGTTCAGACCCTGGGTTTGTGTTGGAGCAGGCTAGTGTGTCTGGCTCAACAAGACAGGGTGCTGGAGTCCCAAGCTGGCAGGGAAAGCAGGGGCAGAAGTAGTCTTGGCACATCAGTTGGCAACCCCAGGGAGTATCTGTGATCCAACCCATCACAATAGCTATCTATTATTATGCCCTGTCACAGCTGAAGAGGGTTTCTCCCATCAAAGCCCAAATGAATTGGCTTTTGGTAGGTGAACTAGATATGTAGGGGCTGCCCAGATTAGAATTCTTCCCACATTTTGGGGAGCCACACCCATCACCCACAGACTCTAGCAGCCACAGCCCTCCATATTCCCCCAAGTTTTTTGGCCAAAAGATTCTGAAGTTTAGTTGGTCTGGTCACACCTCCACCCTCACTTCCAGAATAAGCTACTGCAGAGGACAGCTCTGTGAGATGCTGAGGGGAGGGAGTATAGTTCCCTTGCCCAGCATCCCCATGGCACGTCCTCCCTGCACAGAGGAATCACCGTGTTTCCATTAGTCTCACAGCCTTTTGTGCCTGCCTAGGGGAACTGGGAAGCTGGATTTCCCTTACATACTCCATAGTAAGTTATAATGAATTTTCAAAAACAGGTTTTGAAATACCCAGTCCTCTCAAGAACTATGTATAGTCTTAAGTACAGTGGTGGCTTCTACTAACAGTTGGTGCTCTAGATAAATGTCATTAAGTAGGCCCGAGAACCCCTCTGCGATATCAAAATGCACATCTGGTAAATAGAAGGCAAATTATAAGTCTAGCTCTACCACCACCTCTCTCTAGCCTTCAGTAAGTCACTTACCTCTAGAGCAGAGGTTCTCAACCAGGGGTCTGGGGCCCTGTGGGGGGCCACAAGCAAGTTTCAGGGGGGCCGCCAAGCAGGACTGGCATTAGACTTGCTGGGGCCCAGGATAGCAAGCTAAAGCCCCACTGTATGGGACTGAAGCACAGGGCCTGATGCCCTGCCACCCGGTGCTGAAGCCTATGCAAAGCTTCCCGGGGCCTCCTATAGCATGGGGCTTGGGCAGTTGCTCTGCTTGGTACCCCCTAATGCTAGCTCTGACTTTTACACGTAGAAAAATAGTTGTAGCACAGGTGGGCTGTGGAATTTTATAGCATGCGGGGCGGGGAGCTCAAAGAAAAAGGTTGAGAACACCTGCTGTAGAGTATACATCATTAAGTTCAAGTCAAAGGCGGCATGCTAGTTTACATTAGATGTTTCCAAACTGGTGCAAGAGATATATGTACCTTTTGCAGAGAACTGCTATGAGGTTTCATATGTGTAAAGCACACAAGTGCCATGTTACATCAGAATGTCTGAAGCTGATTAATGAAAAACAAAAACCACTGTTAATCAATTACTAGGGGATTAGCTCATCTGATTTACACTGCACTTCTGAGTATCAATAAAAATTAGAATATATTTTTGTTGAGGGTTCATTCAACTGACTCCCCAAAGTCTAACTTAAGTAGGAGCCTCCTTTAAAAAAAAAATAGTGAGTAGAGAACAATAAGGTCAGGCTTAATCCCAAGAATAAAGCAGTGTTAAAGTGAGGAAAGAGACTGTGACTACATTATTCTCTTTACGCTATTTGTGGAGTCAGGAAGGGTTTTGTCTACACCTGGTAGCCCATGGACCATATTACACTCAAGACTCTGAATGAAGAATTACTGAACACTTAAGAGGATATCTTCACGAAGCTGAGATTATTACTGGCACAGTGTAACTAAATGGAGTAAGATGAATGACCGTTACAAAACAAGAAGTTTGTCAGATGTCTTGGTGGCAAGACAAATTATAAGCATAATTTATTTCAATTTTAAATCTAAATAGAATATATACAGTAACTGATGTTTAAACTGTTTAAAGTAAATGATTAATACCATTAGTATAACAAGGGATCAAAATAAAATTGAGTGCACTCTACTGGTTAGAGAACAGACTTGACATCATGAGTTCTGGTCTTTATTTGTGCCTCTGCCACACAGTTAATATGTGATTTTGCACAAGGCACATCTTTTGTGCCCATTTCCCCAGTTGAAGAATGGGGGAAATACATACATGAGCTGTGCCTAAAGGCTTAAAGTGCACTTATGGTCAGAAAAATGACTAGAAATAGCTCTAATTTAAAAGGAATCCAAACAGCTTAAAAAAAAATTAATAAGGTGCCCTGTTTACCTTGTACTTTTACAAACCCATATTTTCTATTTTTAAACGTTTTCCTCTGCTGTTGCTTTGTGAAAGACTCACAGAATAGGGGAAAAGTGACCTATCCAGGAGAAACAATGAAAGTGACCTTCTACACACACCCCTTGGGTGGGGGGTGGGGTTATTTATTTATTTTATATCCTCTTTCATCTATAGTAATTTTTAAGAGTTATAAATTGTAAGGTACAAAGCTTTCAAAAAAGTGTAATTTTATTTAAACTTGATAGTGTCCTCTAAGATATTTTCTCCATGCTGCTTACTTTACCACAGCTTTCTAAAAGTCTACTTTCCCAGGATAAGTAAGGTATAATTAGATTTATCATTGTCAACAACTCAGTAAAGGATTGGCAACTGGGTTTTGTGCTCAGGCTGGTAAATTTTCATGACTATTTCAGAATACCGTTTACTAAAGTTTTTACTAATTTAATCCTATTAGCACTGCAGGAACAAACAGTTGTGGAACAGTGAGTGGAATTCTGCTCATCAACTATTATATTTAAGTGGCAAAAATACAACTGGTAATGTCAAAACCAGAGAGAATTTCTGTTTGACTTTCATACCCAGGTGTTTTGGGGGATGGCAACTCACAATTTATTTTTTGCTTGTGAACAGAGCACAATAGGAGCAAAAATGTCACTCAGATATAGCCACAGCACTTGGATACAATTTTTAAAGTAATTTTTCAGAATATAAACTGCACTTTGGGTCCGGTCTTGTCAACACATCTTACTGGGTATAGTGCTTGCGCTAATAAGTCAGTTGCATTGATGCAAGTGGGCCTACTCATGATAGTAAGTACTACCCTCAGGAGCCAGTGTTTGCAAAATTAGGACCTTCATATGTAAAGCATGTTGAATTCATCTGGTAAAGAGGCCGGGTATAATTGACTACATTCAATGTAGGCATAAGCATGCACAGCTTCACTTGAAGTCAAAGAGGCATAGCTCCGATTAGGCCACGACTGAATTTGTTACCTCCATCACAAAATTACAGGATTACATTCTATTTTAGCAGCTATGAGCTGAGATCCCAGTTCTGTTCCATGGGAGCTGAACATATCAGAAACTGGTAGTTTCTGGGTTCAAAGAGATTTTTACCAACTAACCCACCCATTTCCATCCTTCAGTGAAGGCAGGAGAAGCCCTGCCCAAAAGCCACAATTCACTTTTTAATGTATCTAGAGTCACACAAATTCTGAAGGAGTTGAAGCCAAATCCTATAATCCTTGTCAAGTGTCAGTTTTTGCTTGAGGAAGAAGTTCGAATTTGACACAGTAGCTTGAGGCTAAAACAGCAGCTTCATTCAATAAAAGATGCACGTCTTACAATTAAGAAGCAATACTACTTCTTAAAATAAAAATCATTTGTTTTCATAAATAAGTCTATATGGCAATAAGTGGTCTTCCACAACATTGGAAGCAAAAATCAAGTGTAATTAAGATTTTAATATCTTAAATACAATATTTGAGGAAGCAGAAGATTTTTCTACCAAACAAGATCAAAGTGCAGCTAATTACTTGGAATTCCCACACAGACAAAGCGCCTGTTATCATTTGTATCTGAGAATTTATTAAAAAATATATTTAATATATTAAAAAGTATAAAATATTTGCTATATTGGTTTGGAACCACAGCAGTAGTTCTACTGTGGTTAAATCTATACCAGTGTATGTTATTGCTAGAGAAAAGCCATTAATAGCAAGTTTTCAAGGAAGAAAAAAAAAATCCAGTGGTAGTTTCTCCATCTATTTTTAATTTTTAAAATGTTTCCTCAATGAAAACAGGCAATTTTATCACTTCTGATAACATATCTGCTCCCATGAACATTAAAGCAGATATGCTTTTTTCTATATTTTCTTCCCAAAAGAAGAGTAAAGTTAGGGCCACAGTCCTACAGATGCAGATCATACCACATTGTAATAGGACTGGTCATGGGTATCTGGAGAGTAAGAATTTATAGCTGCCATGGCAAAAGGCCCTATAGAAATTAGTAAAGTAATAATTACTTGGCAGAAAAACATGATTGGGGGAGCTAATGGGAAAAGGGAAGGTGGAAAAGCTCTCAATTTTACCTTTCATCAGACTTTTAGAGATCACAGCACAAGCGCTGAAACCAAATGCTAATTACTACATGTCCCAAGCAATTTGTATTGTGCCATGCAACATGTATCGGACAAGCAATACGTCGTAGCAAAGACCAACATCAAATAGAGAGAAATAAGGCTTCCCTCCCACCCCTAACATATACTGAGGCCTAAAATTTAATTCCTCTTATTCATTGATATATTCACCATTCAACATTAAAAAGAAACAATCCAGAAGGTAAGAGGAGGAATGAGAGATGCATGCTCAGTGCAGCCATACCCCAACATCAGTCTCTTCAGATGTCAGTTGTCTAAGATGTCATGGTATATTTTTACTGTAAGAAATTAGCACAGTACTTATAAATCTCTCTTTAAAATAAATCAAGAGTCCAGCTAGTTCATGCAGGGAGCAGTCAACATAGAAAGGCAGAAAAAAAATGGGATTTTTATACAAAATATAGTTTTATGCAAAATGGCTGCCAGGAGGTGGCAAGGTGTCGCCTCTGTGGTCCAGCTGATCCTGGAGTCGTGCAAACTCAGCAAGTTCATTCAATTCTTGAAATTGCCTGTCTGTTTTGTGGCTCACCAGTGACCTATAGAAGTGGACTGCAAACACAATGAAAATCAATCCAAAAGGAACCATAATAGATGTTGAGGCAATGGCTGCTGCCTCTCCTGGGGTGATAGTAGAATTGTTGTCATTGGCTGAAACAAGAGGATGCCTCTTCAGTGGAAGAAATTTCACCCAACAGAGCAGCACCACCTCTGCAAGGAAGAGCAAAGTCCCAATGACAGTGGAAAATGCCCAGGCGAGCTCAATGTGCCGGTGCATACGCTCATGCGGAGACTCCTTTACAGAGTTGAGATTGTGCACATTACTAACAGCCTCTATATTTGGAAGAATGCAGGTACTTATCATGAGAGCAAAGAGGTGAACAGCAACAAGCACAGTAGTACAGGCACTGAAAGCTATCAAGAGACCTGGAGGGTAGACATGTGTTGGCTCTAGCTGAACCTCCACCATAGCCACCTGGAAAGGAAGAAGAAAGATTTAATACTGAACTGTATATTTTAAGACATCACTTTACAAATAACAGGTTTAACATTAGCAGGTTTAAACATTTCCATTTTAGATCAATACAATATTTTAATGATATAATTTAATTCTCACTACGTCTGGACAATGAAAACAGACTTGGCAACGTCACTTACTGATTGTCGTGCAGTAGCACTATGCTGCAAAATTTGGGCTCCAAACACTGCAGGGAAGTCTAAATCAGAGAGTGGATAAACATCCAATTCAAAACTGGACTTAAATTGAAATGATGACAATTCACATTAAAGCCTAAATTTATTTTAAATCTATTAAAATTATTTGAATGGAATAAGAAAATATTCAGACAGTATACATTTGCTGCTAAAGTTTTAAAAATAAAAGTGAAACCACTGAAGTGGTGGAAGTCACTGGCTAAGCACCTGGAACTAGGAGTTTGTTGAAGTGCTAAAGCAGCTTTTGACAGCAGTAGCCTCTTCTCCTGGTGCAGAGAATATTCTCTGTATTTCATTTCAATAACTAGTTCATTCAAAGTTGAGAAACCAATTGGGAGTTGAAAAAGCAAAAAAGCTTCTTTTCCTTTTCAACTTCATGACCAAACACAGGAGGATCAGATCTACTACTTCTAAAAATACTGAAGGACATGATGACCAGAAACAATCAGTTCAATTTATTAGCTACAGATAATACTTCCTCTAATCAGTTGTTTTAAATGCAATACTGTTTTCATACGAAAAAATAAATGTATATATCCAGCACATTTAAGGTTGTTTTTATTTAAGTAAAATTTAAAAAAAACGCACAGAGATTTTTCCTTGAATTCCAATTTCCATCCATGCAGCTTGACACAATTCACAAGTAAAAATTTAATAAAGGAAATAAACATAATTTTACAACAAAACAATGTAAAAAAAATAAAGCTCTGAATAAGTGTTAAGCTATATGATTAATTGTGAGAACAGATATAGCATATCTTCCTGGTTAGCAAGAAATACCAAGAGCAATCTAGAGACTATATTTATTTGCAATTAAATATAAAGAGCAACCAATGAGAATCAACCTCTCTTTAGGAAAACAAAAGAGTACAAATGCAAAACAAGATTAAAATAGATATTTAAATTGAGGTTTCCTGCTTGCCATGATATAAAAAAACACTACTGATTTTTAATCAAACACACTGCCATAAATCCAAACCAAAACCAGTTTCAATTATAGGCTAATATGATGAGAAATTTAAACTTTTTAACAAATCCTACACTCTGGGCCTGAGGTAGCCAATGGGGCCACATTTCACTTAATCCATTTCTAAGATACACCTATTGTAAGATGCTTTGTCAGTAAAGACAACACATAAGTTAATGCCAATAAAGTAACTGCCCTGCCAATTCCAAGTTAATTTCCATAAGGCAGCCAGGCCTTGAGGATCAACATAGTGAGGCTCTGTTAGGCCACAAAGGAAGTGAAACAAATTCTAAAAAAAAGTAGGAATACTTCACTGAGAGGATTTTGTTCCCCAGCCATACAAAATTAGTGATTGTCAGTTTATCCATCTCTTGCTGATCTCAACTGCAGGAGTGATGCAGGCTCTAAGGATAAAGGCTATGTCCACACTGCAATAAAAAACCCTGTGGCTCTCTGCTGACTTGGGCTCATGGGGCTTGGGCTGGGGAGCTAAAAATTGCAGTGCCGGTGTTTAGACTTGTGCTGAAGCTCAGATTTTTGAGACCAACCACGTTCTGGGGTTTCAGAGGCTGGGCCAGGAGGGGCTGGCATAGGACAATGTCAGCCTTACACTAATCTAGCAGTCCTCTGTTAGGGCAGAATATCTTAAAGCTGCATCATTACTGAAGTGGCACTTAGGAGCACAGCTGCCAACTTTCACGTGGTAAATAAGCACCCCAAGTAAAAAAATCAAGCTAATCCCTTTTCAAAACAAGGCCAAAACAAACCAATCCATAAGAACCTGAACACTGTATGTGACTAGATTCCCCCCCCGACCCCCATCGTGCAGTCTGGGACTGTGGTGGGCCTTCTGTGAACCCCTGACTCTCTCCCCCCCGCCCATTCTTGTCCCCCCTTGCTGGGAGCCGATCAAAAAAAGAAGCTACAAGCCAAACAAGTAAACAAGCCAAAAACTAGCCAACAAGCAAATTAAACCAAAAACAAGCGCAATTTCTGCGTTTTTTTCATGGGTTTGGCATATCTGCTTAGGAGTGGCCAAGGATTTGGGGTGAAATCCTGACCCTACTACATTCAATGGAAGTTTTGCCATTTACTTCAATGGGGCCAGAATTTCACCCCTGAGCCTAACAAAGTTCTCCAGTTTCTGCCACATAAGGCAGAAATAGCTCAATGTTCCTTTAAATGTAAATTGAGAGGTTTCCATTCATATTATATGACCGTCAAGTGAAGTCTATTAGATTTATCATCCCTGCTAGGCCATCTAAACTATTCCTTTATCCAATGCAGAAATGCCCCTAGCAAGAGAGGAAATTTTAAAAGCAACTCTTTCAGAGGATTCTTTTAAGCATTTACAGTTGCTTAGAGACTTTAATCCTGGCATTTCTCTTGAAAAACAAATACATTATCCTGATAAATTTGGCTCTGAGACAGAGCAGTTGCTTTTGAATAAAGCAGAAATACAAGAAAATTTCAGCAAGCAACATTTGGTCTCCTTTATCAGAGGGCTTGACTAATTTGTCAGCATGTGTTTAAATCAGAAACAAAAGTGATAGGCTGAATAAGGAATAGAACAGAAAATACTGAAAAGGTTATACAAAACCATGGAACATTGTCACACTGTGATCAGTTCTGATCATCCTATATGAAAAGAGGATAGAGGAGAAATAGAGAAGGGATCCAGAGGGAGATGACAAAAATAGTTTGAGGCATAGAAAGACATAATAAAGAGACATTAAAATTATTGGTATTGTTTAGTTTAGAGGTGAATAAGAGGGACACAATGGAAGCATAAAAAATAATGAATTGTAATAGGAAACAGCTTTCTTCCACAACAGTTACTCTGTGTAATTTGGTGTGTATAAATTTAAAAAAGAATTAGATATTTATATGGATGATGACATCCAGTTACATTAAGTAGGATATTTTTTTTAGAAGAGGGGATCATGCTTCAGGGGATAAACTAACTAGGTTTAGGATTGACTAGGATTAGGATAAAAAGAACAGGAGTACTTGTGGCACCTTAGAGACTACAAATTTATTAGAGCATAAGCTTTCGTGGGCTACTGCCCACTTCTTTGGATGCATAGACAGACTCTATATGCCTCTGAAGAAGAGGGCAGTAGCCCACGAAAGCTTATGCTCTAATAAATTTGTAGTCTCTAAGGTGCCACAAGTACTCCTGTTCTTTTTGCGGATACAGACTAACACGGCTGCTACTCTGAAACCTAGGATTAAGATGAAACTTTCCCATAGGCAGGTTATTCCATCATTTTCTATACTGACTTTTTTTGCACCTTCCTTAGAAGCAACTGATACCAGTCACTGCCAGAGACAGTCCCCATTTGTTGACTGTAGACAAATAGGCCACAACTCCCCTGTGTCAAAAATATGCTTGTGACTTTACCACATTTTTCCTCTCTAGTCTGTTAACAGGATCTACAAGTCAACAGCTACCATGCAAACCACTGTGGCAAGCCTGGGTTATGCTTTGTCTAGACTATGTACGTGCTAAGGTAGCACCCACACAGCCTATACATAGATTTGAAAGGAGACGTAATAGATAGGCACTTGCCATTATCATAAAATGAGGAAACTGTAGAAAGTGTTTTAAAGTATTTAGTGACAGACTGCAGGATAAATTAAAGTCCAGTTAAGAGGGAGATTCTACAGCAGCTTTTGAATAATCAGTGTTTACAAATCCTGAGCTCTTTAATTACATTGCATAAAATATGTTTTTAATTTACATTGAACTGGCCAATCCAGATGTTTTTAGAAGAGGCCCAGGCAATGCTTGACGACAGTGAAGAATGAGAAAAGGCTGCTGATAAAGATATGAGAAAAGAACACAAGACTCATTGTTATTTCTTCATTTGAATCATCTTTCTAGATCCATGGTCCAATTTCCAGGCTGTTTTAATACCAGATGGCCATAGTCAAGTGGGCTGAAAGCAAAGCACAATCATTTATCCATACTTTCGTGTTCCAATCGCAAGAATTAAAGTCATGGCATTCTGAATTGGCAAAACACTCCAGCTTTATAGTTGTAAATTCCCATTTGAGTCCATGCATTTTGCAATGTCATCCTGTAACCATTAGTCCTTAAGTGGTGTTATCATTTGATGGTTGTTGTCGGGCTTCCCATCGTTATCTCTTATTTGTTGTCTTGCCTTGGGGGGTGCCTGCCTCACCTCTGAGGTCGTCAATGCTGCTAACATGTTTAGCATCGGATACAATGGATGTTTTCTGATTGTCTCCTGGTTTTTTCAAGTCTCTCACTTTTTCTTGACCATCAGGACATCTGTGGTGGCTTTCACACCTCATCTTTTCCTGATGCATGCATTCCTCATTCACACAAATAATCTCTTACAGAAACCTTCAAAGGTACACAGACAGCAGTATTGTATATTCAGCAGAATACATTGTAAATCAAGCCTTCCTAAATCTTATAACTAAAACAATTCACATTGGGGCTTCAGGCCCTCAACATTTCTCTAATCTCCTTAACATAGATACAAGATCCTGTCTCTTACTTACTAAACCTTAAAACAAAGAAATGTATATTTAACTAGAGTGCCAAATTTGTAATACATATAGGAACCCATAGTAGACATTATAACTTATCCTAAAACAAAAGGGTGACCATAATTAGTTGTCCTGGTCTGTCATTTCTTTCTGCTATTCAAAAAGGGTGGCTGGCAGGATAAAATCAAATTCTCATAATACAATTATAAAATCCTGCTCCTATATATCCCCCTTTTGACACTAAGATTATTAATCGCCAGTGTCACTTTTATTTAGTCCGCGTAACAGAAAATACCGGGAGGTGATTTCGGCCTGTGGCTCTAGCTTTGCATACATTTGTTTTATCCAACAGCACATTCCAAACATCCCAATTAAACACACACAATTTAAAACCAAAACAATTAGGGGTAATAACATTAGGATGCCAGTAGTTGTGGGAGACCATCCAGAAAATATGTTATACCAATGGTAAGCTGCAACAGAGGGTCCTGTGGTACCTTTAAGACTAACAGAAGTATTGGGAGCATAAGCTTAGGGTTAAGCTCCCAATAAGTCTTAAAGGTGTCACAGGACCCTCTGTTGCTTTTTACAGATTCAGACTAACACGGCTACCCCTCTGATACTTGACACAATGGTAAGCTGTTATGTTTTTCTGCAGTGGCAATTCTTAACATGTCCCCATTTGCATGTATAATATGAATGGTTCGGTTTCCCACATTGCCTTTTTTCTTCTTCTAGGAACTATGTTACCTTTTTACCTTTTAACAGGTGATTGGTAACTTCCTGCCATTTAATGCCAAGATTGATAGAGAACTCAGCTAAATCAGTGCTCACAGTAAGCTGAGACTTTTTTTGGTTGTGGCAAGTAGTACATGTACTTACATTACATTTGTCTACTGGTGAGTTGCTAACACTTTTATTCTTCCAAAACACTTTCCCCCCAAGAGTTAAACACATACACATATACTTTGGTCTAATTATCCAATACATCCCACATACAGGATCCTAGTGAAATGTCTTTACTACAGGGCTTTTGGAGCAACTGGCTAGGATAAACACACCCACTTTTGAGGAGTCCACTGGGTACAACCTCTGGTGTCCAATAGCTTCCCTCCCTCCCTCCCCAGCCCACTGGCTCAAGGTCCAGGGTAGCCAGAAGGATCTCATGTGCAATCTGGGGAGTGGGCTAACTTTCCATATCTTTGCTTCCAGAGCCTGTTGGTGTGCGATTTTAACAACAATTTTCCCAATTAAAAGGTCTGGCCTTACTATGCTAGAAACATATCAAACAAAGATCTTTTTTGTTGTTTTAGCAAGTGTATTAAAACCTTAGTGTTTCCTGATATTACCCAAAACATTTTGTGTTCCAAGGAGGACAAAGGAAGTATCTGGATATCAGTACATCCCATAGCTATAGTAGTATGTTTTTTTCCCACTTTCATTTGTTTCTGTATTAGGTTGTCCTGTAGCTGGTATCAGCTTTTTCTGATTTTCTGAAAGACAAAAAACATTTTTCTACCCCTTCGGGGTGGCATTGATTATTGCTTAAAATATTTCCTTTTTTTTTACAAATACCCTTGCTGATTGCAGGGAAAAGAGAGGAATTACCTTCATATTTTCCTGTGTTTTTGTTCTATAGGCAGGCCAGGTTTCAATGGCTTCTATCTTTTAAGAGTTATGGAGAAATTATCCCACTGTTTAGTCATTAAATCCATGAGGTGGTGTACCTTAGTTTTCTTTTTATACAGCAGACCAAGTTTATAATGTTTTTCCTGCTCTGTTAAGCTTTAAGTTTATTTACAGATAAGCTGAGGAGCATCATTACCATAAAGGATTTTTCCAAAAATCATACATACTATACATTGTTACAGGGGTACTTATTAACATATTAATAAATCTATTAAAGGTATCCTGTTATACCATGCCTTTTATTTAGACAATTTGTTTGCTGACCAGGTATGTCCTTTATCTGCAGCTTCTTTGTGCTAGCAGTTCTTTTCTTCATCAATCAGTTAGGTAAATTGCATCAACACAGACTTGGCTTTTGGATTCAAAGCCATCAGCAGCTTAGAGACTCTGTTTTAAAAGGAACACAATTAACTTTTACCAGAGTTTTGATTACTTTTAACTCTTGCTTCCAAAACACACAGAGATCTGAAAAAGAAAACAATCTATTGTGGCTCCTTTGGAGCCCTAATAGGATTTTAATTAAGTAGCATGTTTTGTTTGCATTTCTTTCACCCCTTCTATAATATACACTGCACATGTCCTGGGGAAAATGCACATTCCTTCTATAGTTTAACTTCTATACATATAAATTTTTACATAAGGGGCAACTGTTTTTGTTCTTACAGAGTTTTCATGTCCCTTATCAAAGTGACAGTCTGATTACAGAGCCAACTTAAGGCCCAGCATTTCTAACATTGCTTCTTTTCGTTTTTGTGCCTGCTTGTCTGGGTCCGATCCTGCTTTTTCCAATGAACAGTTCCTTTCCATGGGCACAAGTTTTGTTCCACTACCAATTTAGCAAGGAGGGTGGGCTCCTTAATTAGCCCCCACCCTTCCTGGTCCCTTTCCTTAATCATTTCCTTCAAAATTGTGAAATTACCACAATATCACTTACAAAAAAATACTACACTGGTATATCCTTCAGAGTTTGGTTTAACAGAACAAGATCTGTATCTTATGTTTGCCCGTGCCAGTGCCGGGGCTTATGATTTTAACCCACTCTGGGCCAGAGGGAGAGACGCTAAGCTTCCCTCTGTATTGCTCGGCCTTCTACCACCAAGGGTTCATACACCAAATATAAAGACCCCTCCCAGGGGCAGAACGAGAAACCCTAAGTTCTCCTCTTATGCTCAGTCATGCTACGGCCGAGGGAGTATGCACCTATAGTTTTCCCCGACAGACGGGTCGGAGCAAGGCCTCTAATCCTCCCCCTATTGCCCGGCACTTCTATGACTGGGGGTATATCCACCTCCAATTATTTCCTCCCAGGAGTCTGGGGTGGAGGGAGGGATGCTAAACCTCTCTCCTGTCTCTCAGCCCTGCTGCAACCGAGGGGGTGTATACCTCTTAATTATACAAATTCTTAATTCATAAAATACCAACAGTGAATACAATATTAACCACACCTAGTTCCTGTTTTACTGCCCGTTATCTCTATGACCTGCACACCTGAATGATCGATCACTTAGCAGTATTGTCAATAATTACAGCGCATATACTCTTCCCCCTTTTGCAATTCTCCACCAAAAATGTTATGCTCATACAAAGCACACGGGATCTTTTCAGGAGAAGGCAAATATGCAGCATTTATTGAAAATACAACAGTTAGCATATGCTTTTCGGTCGGACACACACACACACTCCTGCCATTTGATGTTTTATAGTTACCAGTCTGTTGTAGCTCGAGACAATCTAATGGCCAATTAGATTGATCAGTGTGAGGTGCAGGGCTCTTGAAGCGTGAGGAGCAGGGCTCTTGTTGGTGGCGATCAGATGCTCTGAGACTTTGCAGGACTGAACCCAGAGTTCTATGGCAAAACACCCCAGCTTTATAGTTGTAAATTCCCATTTGAGTCCATGCATTTTGCAATGTCATCCTGTAATCATTAGTCCTTAAGTGGTGTTATCATTTGATGGTTGTTGTCGGGCTTCCCATCGTTATCTCCTATTTGTTGTCTTGCCTTGGGGGGTGCCTGCCTCACCTCTGAGGTCGTCAATGCTGCTAACATGTTTAGCATCGGATACAATGGATGTTTTCTGATTGTCTCCTGGTTTTTCCAAGACTCTCACTTCTTCTTGACCATCTGGACATTTGTGATGGCTTTCACACCTCATCTTTTCCTGATGCATGCATTCCTCATTCACACAAATAATCTCTTACAGAAACCTTCAAAGGTATATAGATAGCAATATTGTATATTCAGCAGAATACATTGTAAATCAAGCCTTGCTAAATCTTATAACTAAAACAATTCACATTGGGGCTTCAGGCCCTCAACATTCCCCTAATCTCCTTAACAAAGATACAAGATCCTGTCTCTTACTTACTAAACCTTAAAACAAAGAAATGTATATTTAACCAGAGTGCCAAATTTGTAATACATATAGGAAACCATAGTAGACATTATAACTTATCCTAAAACAAAAGGGTGACCATAATCAGTTGTCTTGGTCTGTCATTTCTTTCTGCTATTCAAAAAGTGTGGCTGGCAGGATAAAATCAAATTCTCATAGTACAATTATAAAATCCTGCTCCTACAGTGTTTGCGCTAATAAGTCAGTTGCATTGATGCAAGTGGGCCTACTAATGACAATAAGTACTACCCTCAGGAGCCAGTGTTTGCAAAATTAGGACCTTCATTTGTAAAGCATGTTGAATTCATCTGGTAAAGAGGCCAGGTATAATTGAGTACATTCAGTGTAGGCATAAGCATGCACAGCTTCACTTGAAGTCAAAGAGGCATAGCTCCGATTAGGCCACGACTGAATTTGTTACCTCCATCACAAAATTACAGGATTACATTCTATATTAGCAGTTACGAACTGAGATCCCAGTTCCATGGGAGCCTAACATATCAGATGAAGTGGCCTGTAGCCCACGAAAGCTTATGCTCAAATAAATGTGTTAGTCTCTAAGGTGCCAGAAGTACTCCTGTTCTTTATATCAGAAACTGGTACTTTCTGGGTTCAAAGAGATTTTTCACCAACTAACCCACCCATTTCCATCCTTCAGTGAAGGGAGGAGAAGCCCTGCCCAAAAGCCACAATACACTTTTTAATGTATCTAGAGTCACACAAATTCCGAAGGAGTTGAAGCCAAATCCTATAATCCTTGTCAAGTGTCAGTTTTTGCTTGAGGAAGAAGTTTGAATTTGACACAGTAGCTTGAGGCTAAAACAGCAGCTTCATTCAA